AGCCCTCTTCCATTCCCATCTGCAAGCTCAGGTAGGTGTCCTTGTTTATGCTCCCCTAGCCCTCTCTTGTGGGGCTCACTGCACTGTGATGGACTCCTTCATTTTCTGGTTGGTTTGTTTCTTCAAGGGGAATATCACAGTTCAACCTGTATCACCAGTGCCTAAGAAGGGCCTGTTACCAGGTAGGTCCTCCAGAAAAGGAAGCCATGAATAAATGAATGAAATGAGCATCAGTTCTGCACAGTCTTGGTTTATATTTTCTAGTCTCGATTATCAACAATTCTACTGTAGAAGGTAAGAGTACAGGCTCTGATGCCAGATTTTCTGGGTCCATATCCTGTCTCTGTTCAGTTTCCTAGATGTGTGAACTTGAAGTTTACTTTACCTCTGTGTGCCTTAGTCTCCTTATCTGTAGTTGGTATAATAACATTTCCTACCTCAGGGTCATTGTGGGGAATTAAGTGAGTTAATGCATGTTAAATGCTTAAAGTCTGGCACCTAGAAAATTCTCTGTAAATATTATTATCAAACATCTAAATCACCCCAAGAAACTTCAGATCTAGGTATGCTTTCTGAGCAATACATTCTGCAGGAATGGTTGGTGCTGTCAGCAGTCATTGACCCTCAGGAGAGATGGATGTGGTCTTTGCCTGGTATTGCTTCCATTATGTGCTCTAAGAGATAAGGAACATAAGGGTATGCTAAGCTAGAGGAATGGGTTAGAAGCTCCACCAGTGGATGCCTTCAGTAAGAGAGTATGTTTATCATGGTTTATTGTGATTGCATTTGCTTTTAATGAATGAGTGAGCTTTCTGAAGACAAGAAAATATTTGGTAGAATGATTAGAACTGTGGATTCCTGGGGACTTCCTGTTCTCAGTCTTGAGGGGTTATGATGGGAAGGTTGGTGAGCAGAAACTATGTTTTTAAAAGCCAGAGATAGACAGAATTTTTTTGTTGTTGAACATGAAGTGTTTAGGAACAAGCTGAGGGCCAGGCACGGTGGCTCACACCAGTAATCCCAGCACTTTGGGAGGCTAAGGCAGGAAGATCACTTAGGCCCAGGAGTTCAAGACCAACATAGGCAACATAGTGAGACCCTGTCTCTCCAAAAAAAAAAAAAATTAAAATTAGCTGGGCATGGTGGTGCACATCTGTGGTCCTACCTACTTAGGAGGCTGAGGTGGGAGGATTGCTTGAGCCTGGGAGGTTGAGGCTGCAGTGAGCCTTGATCAAGCCACTCACTGTTTTCCAGCCAGGGCAACAGAGTAAGACCCCATCTCTAAAAAGAAATAAAATAATCCTGAAGTAGGAACAAGTTGTTCCTATAATTTATAGAAAATGCAAAAGATCTAGAAGAGCAAAACAATTTTAAAAAGCAAAGATCGAAGACATTCATTTTTCAATTTAAAAATATACTATAAAGCTACAGTCAAGGCAGTGTGGTACTGGCATAAAAATAGACACATTGGGCTGGGTACGGTGGCTCCCATCACTTTGGGAGGCCAAGGCAGGTGGATCACTTGAGCCCAGGAGTTCATTCAAGACAGTTTGGCAGCATCTCTGCAAAAAGCACAAAAATTGACCGGGCATGGTGGTGCATACCTCTAGTCCCAGCTACTTGGGAGGCTGAGGTGGGAGAATGGTCTGAGCCTGAAAGGTGGAGGTTGTAGTAAGTTGAGATCACACAACTGTGCTCCAGCCTGGGCGACAGAGTCAGACCTTGTCTTAAAAAAAAAACAAAAAAACAAAACAAAACAAAAAAAAAACACATAGATAATAGACGAATAGAACAGAACTGATAGTCTGGAAATAAATCTTTATATTCAATAGATTTTTGACAAAGTTGCCAAGGTAATTTATTAAAGAAAGGATAATATTTTTAACAAATAATGCTGGGACAGTTGGATATCCACATGATGAATTTAGACATTTATTTCGCATTATATATAAAAATAAACTATTTAAAAAAAATTTTTTTTTTGAGACAGGTTCTTGTTCTGTTGCCCAGGCTAGAGTACAGTGGTACAGTCACAGTTCATTGTAGCCTCGACATCCTGGGCTCAAGGGATCCTTTTGCCTCAGCATCCTGAGAAGCTGGGACTACAGGCACATGCCACTATGCCTGGCTACTTTTTCATATTTTTTGTAGAGACGTGGTCTCACTGTGTTTTGCCAGTCTGGTCTTGAACCCTTGGGCTCAACTGATGCTCTCACCTAAGCCTCCCAAAGTGCTGAGATTACATATGTGAGCCACTGTGCCCAGCCTAAAAATAAACTAAAATAGATCATAGATTTAAGTATAAGAGCTAAAACAATAAAACTTATAAAAGAAAACATAGAACATCTTTGAGACTTCAGGTTAGGCAAAGATTTCTTAGATACAACAACAAAGGCACAGTCCATAAAAGAAGAAAAAATGAATAAATTGGACCAAATCAAAATTCAAATTGTTTGCACTTCCAATATGCAGAATAAATAAAATGAGAAAACAAACAGCAGACTGGGAGAAAATATTTCTGAAATACATATCTGATAAAGAACCTGTATCCAGAATATACATTCACGTACCTCAATAACCAACAGATAAAAACCCACTTAAAAAAATGGGCAAAAGGCTGGGTGTGGTGACTCATGTCTGTAATCCCAGCACTTTGGGAGGCCAAGACGGGTGGATCACCTGAGGTCAGGAGTTCGAGATCAGTCTGGCCAACATGGTGACACCTTGTCTCTACTAAAAATACAAAATTAGCTGATTGTGGTGGCACACAGCTGTAATCCCACCTACTTGGGATGCTGAACAGGAGAATCACTTGAACCTGGGAAGCAAAGTTTGCAGTGACCTGAGATCGCGCCATTGTACTCCAGCCTAGGTAA